TGCAGGCCTGGCTGAAATACTCGGGCGTCAATGAAGGTCACCTATCAACTTAGAATAGTGCCTGAAGATTACTTCGTGCGGCTATAAACGACCGTTAAATGAAATGATGAATTTTTGAAGGATTTTGAAAATGGAAAAAATGATAGTCGTGCCGGCCCAGCATCATCAACATTGAAAAATGCCTCGGCACGAAGTGGTTAATGTGTAATCTGAAGCTGTCAACCTGTTCAACTTTGGGCATAATTATATTTAACTTGAGGTTATCAAAAGTACTGCAAGTATATTGAAGACAATGATATGCACTGAACATAGAGCAATCAACAGCGCCCTCCTGGCGAAGAAACAGAAATTCATTTAGATGATTTTCTGAAAATGTGACGATGCAACAATGTGATGGCACAACGCCACTATGCGATGTTGGCAGCATAAACGGCTAGATACCAGGAATAAACAATGAGACAATGTGACGTGACTATGTGACAGCACAACATGACCATGCAATGGCACGATGCGACAATGTGATGGCACAACGCGACGATGCGCCGTTGATGGCAGAAGTGGCTACAGACCCAAGGAAGAATGCCCCACATGCAATGCATAATTAGCACAAATGGAATTCCATACCAAAAACAGCCAAACATCACAAACACCGACCCCTGACTATAATTTCAACAGTACTGTATTTGTATCCCATTTTTTTTGCCTAACCTCATACTTTGCAAAACTCTCAGGCACTGTTATGGCCATATTTGCAACAATGGCCTTGCACAGTGAGAAAGTTCCACACATGGTTCACATCCAAAATTATTCAGATGTTACTTGCATTTGTCAAACAATTTGAAGAAAATAATAAACTGGATAAGCTCGACTTTGTTGAAAACCCCCAGTGACTACAACTTGTGGTAAAAGGGGAAACTGAGAAATCAGGTTTAAGTAGCTAAACTGTGAAATTTATTTAGTCATATGAGTCAAAATTTGTCAGGATGAGGGACAGGTTACACAGCACAAACAATTCTTGGATAACAGGTATATCTGATTTTTAACCAATTGCTTCCGGGGAGCGCCCGGTTTTGGGCACTTATTCTTTATATGCATAGCCGGGGTCTCAAAAATCGGACAAAGGGAAGCAGGCCTTGAAACAAAAGACCGTACTCGTAACAAAAGACCAGTCTGCTGGGAATTACCAACATTTTTTCACTGTCAATAGTGGAGATAATCCAGCATTTTTTTTTTAAACAGTGTACCTCTGTTTGAGGTATTCAGTGCGAGTGGATTACAAGCGCACCACCTCCACAGTGATGAGCCACACAGTACCGCTACATGTTAATCTGGCCCCTGTTGAAAAAAGGTCAGCAGCGCACTGTGCCAGTTTCGTGAACAAAAGAAAATTACATAACACCGCACGATCTGGGCTCTTTTACCAAGGTGGCAGGGCCTGGCTGAAATACCCAAGTACCAAGTATGTTGTCTGTCAGATTAGAGTACAAACCACACAGTCCTTTGTGTGGGTGTAAGTGTCCAGTAAATGGTAATATGAATTTTTTAAGAATTTTGAAAAGAGAGAAAAAAAGAAAAAGACCTCGTCCCGGCAGAATCAACATTCATAAATGCCCCCAGCGTATGTGGTTAAGCACCAGAATTTGCAGTTATTAATAAGGAAATAAATGTGTGCTTGGCTTCTCTTAAACGTGTAATTAAGGCCGGCTCAGGAGAATGGATGTGACTAATGCCAAAGCTACAGGCAAGGGCAGCGTTCAGTCTCCTGGGCACATATTTATCCCATTCATAAATACTTCAGAGAGTCAAAAGAAGTCAATGTATGATGGATTTCCAATAATTTTGTTCAAGAATTTTACTTTCATTTTCCTGAACTCCCCCGTCCATTTTGAGGTATATTCTTTGTGCAAGTTGTCCAAAAGAATCTCCTTATAGGAAATTGGCATGCACGTGGCGAGCTACATGTACATGCGCACAGACTCTTGAATAAGAACCAATCAGAATCGACTAAACTGCCTTACATCCAGTTGCCAGCGCGTGATTTATGCAGCAGGTATTATCACTTCTCTTATCTCTTCTCACAGTCAAGTTGCATGTTCTTGAATAGGGAGACTGTCTGCGGTATTTATGAATAATTGTTAACCCCTTGACGCCGGGACTTTTTCTGAAAGCTGACTCCGAGAATTCCAGCCTCGCTTGGCCACAAAGACCACCTGCCAAACCACAAATTCTCGGTTTGTGGCCCTGCATGCTCTGCATGCTTTGATTTACACAGTAAAAAGGCTCATTGTTCGGTGGCATGTGGCGCTATTCACGCTTCCGCATTCCCATTGCCTCTTTTCAAAGTGGGGACTATTGTGAAGCTGGTGATTATGATGCAAATTCGGCCTTTTCATTTCTTGGCAACACACAAAGGCCAATCACCATATATACAAGAGCCAGGGTATACTTTCTTTCACTGTGTTCGCTCGAGCATGGGCCGAGAATAATAGCACAAAAGTGGGCCGAGGCATCTCAATTTTTACGGCGTCTCTTACCGCTTCCCAATGCTAAGGGGTTAAAGAATGATTGGATTGGATCGTTAAAAAATTGTATTTTATTTCTGCTCATACATGTATCTAAAATTGTTTTAATTGATTAATACTGTCATAAAAGGATGTTGCACATCGAATCCTTTTTGAAATAGAAGAAAAGTGTCTGGTCTTACCAAATTGTTGATTTGATCCAGTAGGTCATTCACCTCTTGGCTATATACTAAGCCGATGTGAGATCGCCCCAGTAAACGCCGAACTTTACGTTTTATTTCTGGTTTTGGCAATTTCATCATGACCATGAAAGCAATGGCGTTAGTCAGCATGTCTGCAATGAGAACAGAAAATAAATTTGTACAAGTCATGTCCTGTGAATGCCATGGCAGTTCCTTTCAAGTACACTTACCTAATTACTGCTCAACCCAGGGTGACAAGCAGCTCTGTGCGAGGCAAGGAATTTCCGACCACAATATAACATTGACTGATTAAAGTGTATAAGACAAATTATAGAAGGAAAAAATCAGCAGTTATCTATGTGTCGTATCCTCTCTATTAACCTGCATGTAAATGTAAGAACAGCCATCAAGGTGGGAGAGTTTAAAAAAATGAACATAAGCAATGTTGTAGCACAGTACACGAAACTACACTTACAGTAGCATTGTATTTTTTCTGAGTAGAGTACTCTCCTCAGTTATATATAACGGTTTTGCAATGTATATTAATAAGCACTGTATGCTCAGTGCCTGT